GAGTAATCGGAAGGGCTATCGTGCGAGGGATAAAACCCCCCGACGACATACATGTACATGTAGCATCCCTTGGCCCTAATTGTAGTGGTGGTCTCGGACAGGTGGTCGTCTCATCAGAGCGGTCACCTTTAGAGGTTTCACTGTAGTAAAGTTCGCATATCCCCGTTGCCACCAGCTGTACTATAGATGATGTGCTAAATAACGTGCCACTAGACTTGGGAGGGCATTGTACACCAGTTGCATGCAAATCATACTACAATGTGTACACGGTAGGCCCTGAGCTCTGGAGGAGCACTAGTCACAGATAACCGTACAACTTTGAACTTTATTATGCAACGCCCTCCCAAGTCTAGTTGCATGCTTTTTGGCATATCATCCATTGTGCTGAGAAACACAACGAGCGTCGAGTAGGCATGGTTATCAAGTGAAATAAGTGAAACGGCCGATGATGGTAATTTACCGTTCATATACTGCAGGACCCTTTGCACAGCTTCACACGTAGGAAATAGTTGTGAGCATCACTGGCTCGCACTCGATTACTGCCAACTGCATTTCGAAATTTCATTCCGCGGAAAATATTCCTTTTTTGTTATTTCGATCGAAAGGAAATGAGTTTTGACTGTGGAATGTGTGCTACTGTAACTAGCGGGTCTTCTTATCACCAGTTCCCAGTGTATAAAGAACATAAGCATATCTGGGGTGGGGGGTTGGAATAAGGATATGAAACCATTTGTCTTATCATTGGTTTTTCGATGTGTATGCGTGTGTGTTTCTGTCTGTCTGTTTGTTCATGCGTGCATGTGTGGGTATGACCGTGCGCATGTGCTTGTGCTGTTTGGCATGCCTCGTCTGCTTCTCTTTCTCTTTCTTCTTCTTGTGCTGCTCACAGACTGTGCTTGTGACGACGATGTGTTGCTAGCAGGCAGCTCCACAGCGGCGGAGACTGCGGCAGTGGAGCGGGCCCCGCATGCTCACAAGGCGTTGGCGGCGCGCACTAGCAGCAGCGGCAGCAGTAGCGCTGGTGGCCTGCTGTCCTGTTGCAACGCTATGGTGCGAGTATGTCGTGGTTCGCTGAGTGCTCGACACATCGTGGTGTTTGGCTCTCTGATAGTCTGCGCTCTCGTGTTGATAACCAGCCGAAACAACCTGTCTCCTCCTCGTGATGCCAGTGCTCACCTACGCTTACCCAACGCCGTTAATAGAAAGCTTGTCCAGGATGATATCGACGAGCTCGATGATTCAGTCAACGCCGTCGTCCGCAGTCCAATACTGTTCGTCGACGTGTACTCGGAGCAAATTGGCAGATCGGTCAACAACTTTGCCCGCCTGTTGACCTTGTCGAAGAAGATGGGACGTCGCCTGGTGGAGCCGTTTGTGCACGGCTCCCGCCTGAGCGGCATGGAGCGGAGAGACATCAGCACCCCACAGGCGTTCTCGCACTACTTTGACCTGCGCGCGCTCAATCGCCTGCTGCGCCGGCGTGGCATAGTGCCGCTTGCGTCCTACCAGGACATGTTCAGTGCCTGCCCGCACGGCTGGGACCTGGTGCTGCTCATACAGAATCAGGACGTGTCGCTGAGCCGGCCGGAACTGGGCTCCGTCCGCAACCGCAAGAAGGACGTGACCGAGTGTCGCAAGGCGGCGGAAAGCAGTGCCGACGGCTACGCCGAATGCCCCGTGCTGGTCAGGATGGCACGACTACTACCCGAGCAACGGCAGGCACTGAAGAACAAACGACGTGCAGCGCGGCAATCGGTCGGCAACTCCGTCCCCGCTCGCGGTATTGTTATCAGCGCCGCAAAGTTCCACAGCATATCAAAATTGAACGAGCTGATGAAGGATTCCCAGTGCGCCAGTCTACAGGAGTGGGCGGGAGAGGGTGATCGGCGCGCGGAGTTCAGTGACCTCACGCCGACCGACATGCAGAGTCAGGTCCGACCGTACGAGCTCTATCACTCCGAATTCATCAAGGGAAAGGCGCGCGAGTTTGCCGCTGAGCACCTCAGCGCAGCGTACATCTCCGTCCACCTTCGCATGGAGAAGGCCATCAAGCTCGGGCAGAACATGCAGCAGCTCAAGAAGTGCGTTCGCTCCGTGGCCGAGGCCGTTGCTAAGCTGGTCAGCACGAGAACTGGTGGTGCAAACCGAGGCGTATTCCTGGCTACGGATCTCGGCGAGCACGGTTCAGACACGCTGCACAAGCACATTGACGCCAAAAACCGTGCGGAACTCCTTGAGTACACGCAGACCACACTCAAAGACGCAGTGATACCCACCGATTTTGGGCTGACAGATCATGGAGCGCGTGCAATGGTCGAATCCGAGATTGCAGCCGGCGGAGGCGAGTTAATAGCCGTCGGAGGTGGAAACTTCCAGGAGTGGATGTCGGTGCTGTTTCGACTGCACAGCGGTGGCAAGAGCGCTACCAAAATGTGTCTGCAGACAAAAGTACCGCCGGGCTGGGAGCTGCAGGAGCCTAGATGATGAGCACTGAACTGTCTCTCTTGACTGGTAAGAATCAGCCTGGCATGTTTGTGTGTTGTGTGTGTGTGTGTGTGTGTGTGTGTGTGTGTGTGTGTGTGTGTGTGTGTGTGTGTGTGTGTGTGTGTGTGTGTGTCCCATATGGTGCAGTGGTATGTGCAGCGATTTCCAATCGATAGGTTGCGGGTTCGATTCCCGACGATTATGGTCACACACGTCTTTCTTCTCTTTCTCAGACTCTTCCTGACTTTTCTTTCATTCTCCTGGGTGGTTACCAACAGCCAGTGCATGCCGGAGTATGTGGTGTGATGTGTCTGCGGGGAAAAAAAAGACCAAAAAAGACAAAACAATTTATAGGGATTCACTGGCCAGAAAAAGTCACTTCGAATAGCTGTATGGTGTAGACCAGGCTGAATAGTGACGGTCAATTCTTCAGCCTTGCAAGCTGTTGAATGGTGCAATCCCAGCACAAGTTGCTATGGCTTCTGCCGTAGCATTGCTATCATCGCCTCCGGCGATGGGTTGTACTCGGTGATTGTGTTAGCTTGGACCGATTGACCAATGCCACTGGCAAGGGTGTAGGTACCCCTACTCCCTCAAGAGTGCTGAGCTCCACAAGTCATAATTATACTACTCCCTCAAGCGTGCTGAGCTCCACAAGTCATAATTATACTACTCCCTCAAGAGTGCTGAGCTCCACAAGTCATAATTATACTACTCCCTCAAGAGTGCTGAGCTCCACAAGTCATAATTATACTGTGCTGCTCAATGAAATCCAGTCACGTCACTTAAGTTTCGCAGCCTGTGAACACTGGGCTGAGAATTGGTGCAAGGTGCAAGCTTGAGTGACGCGACTGGATTTCATTGCGCAGCACTGTACTTGCTATGGGGTGCGGCAACGGCAAAACTCACCATGATTGTGTGGTGCAGTGTTTACTATAGGGGAGTTGCGTTCCGACCTCTGATTAGGAGCTTCAATGTGATCCGATGTCTATGGGAATCATGAGTGTGATCTCGGCGATTGTTAGAGACGACAGCTAAGAGTTTTCTCTTCTTCCTACTTATTTCGTTCTCTCCAAAGAACTGAAAATTGACCAAGTTACGATAGTTTGAAGTTATTTGAAAAGTGTGGAATTTATCGATCACCCGTGATCAATAAAAGTATGTGCCGTCCGTAAAGGGTTAAATTGACCTCGTGCCAATGGCTACTGGGACGGGCATGTGTGGCCGTATGCAAGTGTGTGTGTGTTTGTGTGTGTGTATGTGTGTGTGTGTGCACATGCGTGTGTGTGTGTGTGTGTGGTGTGTGTGTGTTTGTGGTGTGTGTGTGTGTGTGTGGTGTGGAGCCAAGATGACCAAATCCTGACGGTAGATCTACTACATTATGCTCACATTGCATGTTGTGCGGTCAACCCGTGCTCATTGCTCCTTCGAGTGGCCGTGAGCTGCACACATGATTGGTGGGCCAATAAGGAACCAGATGGAACATTATTTCACTCAACTTCTCACACGCACGTGTGTCACTAGCTTTGGTGCTGTCTGGTGCTTGGGGGCAGGCCGAGTCATAGTTTAATCAACCCAACTGTCATTGTCAACTTGTGTGTTATGTGTCTGATTGTTTGCCTGTGGTTGTTTGCGTCTTGTGTTTGTTTACGTGTGTGTGTCAGTGTGTCAGTGTGTATGTGTGTGTGTGTGTGCGCGCGCATGTGTGTATCGTGGCATTGTGTGTCCTCCACACCTACGTCTCTCTTCAGGTCTGTCCACACTCTGGAAGCCTTTCTGACTGAGCTTACCGCGAGCCCGATCTCACTCCGCGTACCCTG